TTTCATTTTTGAACGCATTTTTTCGGCGCTCGGTCGGACTTTGACGCCAAGTTTTTTGTACTGTTCAGTAGAGAGAAGCCTGAAGTTTTAACAAGCCTTCTGATTTTTATCGATGCCAAGAGGTGTTTGATCTGCGTGTCAAGAAGGAAAATCTTTCCAACCACAAAAATTTCACAATTTTTATTCTCAAGACCATTTTTTTGTGCAATTCAAAGAATCTCGTCCAAATCATGGGTGATTTGATTGAGAAGCCTGTTAACTTTCAGCTGCACTCGAGTATTGCGTTTTGCGCTCAGGAATTACAAGCTGCCGAACGTGCCTCTGACTGCAACTCTTTTCGCAGCTGGCGTCGCTTCTGCGGGGATCGCCACGCCTGGATGGTGGGTCCAAAAGATGTGGAAGGCATTACTCCAACAAAGTTCCCAGTAATCAAAGATTTGGTCCTTTTTGTGCAGAACTAGAAGACCTCAAGGTCACTTACTCGAAAAATGGTGCTTTTTAGAGGCAAAAAATGATATATTTTTCAAACTTCCTGGGGAAAATTTTTTTGCAGGTGGTCCTTTGAAACATAAATGGTCTCCATAACAGCCCCAGCAGACCTCTATATAACTACAGCATCTGACCTCTCCAGCTCTCTCATCATGCCTGAAATAATTCTGCACAAATAGGCCACTTTTCGCGACGACCTTCTTCCCTTCTGCGCATGCTGGCGGACCGCAGTGAGGTGCTGAGAAGCCAGCAAGATGTGTTGTGGGCAAAATTGTCTTTGCAATGAAGTTTGCAGCTTCAGAAAGGAATCAATCTGTTTGAAGTTACAGCGATTTGAAAAAAAAATTCCGCAAGTGCCCGGGAACTTTCTTTACAACCTAATACTTGAAGATTTGCGCTACATGATAGATGTTGGAGTATAATTTCCTATGAGGCAGATGATAGAGAGCAAGACCAAAAGTGGAGTTTCAAATTTTTCAATTTTTTGTCCGATGCTCAAAAATGCAAAGGGCTTTAGTTAACCCCAAAGTCTATTAAATTTGGAGCGGTAATTTTTTTTATATCTGGCGGTCTTCAATAGCGCATAAAAATGCAACGACAAAACATTGTTAAAAATGTCATTCTAAAAAAAGTTCCTTTTCCTGGCATTTTCTTCACAGAAACGCAGAAACGCAAAAACTAGATTAACTAGATCCAGCATCTACCTAGCAGAGTGTGACGTTTTTGGGGTGCCACACAGTGTTTTGCTGAAAAAAGTGCAGCGATAAGAGAATTGATTGGATGACATTTTTGAAAATTTTATTTTTACATATTCACCAAATTGAATCTTGTCACAGCAAGCTACTATGCATTACTGCTATCTAAGAAATTTTGCAGATTGTTTGAGGAGTTAGCTAGAGGTCGTCCGCAATTTTTTAACATGAAATTTAGACCCGAAAAGTTTGTAACTCCATTTGAAAATTTCTTTCTTGCCTGCTGAATCATAGAAAGTTATGCTTTAACGTCCATCAAAGAACCATTTTTGGAAAACACTAATAAATTTGGTTTAGTGTTTGAAAGTATTGAATTCAGTTCGAATTACGCAAGAACTTTTATTCGATTAATCCATATTTGCACTCAGTTTGCGATACGCGCACAAAATTTACAGATTGTCGAACTCGCTTAGGGCAGCAACTCTTTCCAAAGTTGGCGTCCATTCTATAAAGATTGTCATGCTTGTATGATGGTTTTAAAGGGATCCACAACATCGCGGAACAATTTTTACAGTAGTAAGATTCTAGCTCTTTCCATGCAGAAAAGGAGGACTTCCAGGCGATTCATACGAAACGAGATATTTTCAGGGCGCAAAAAAGCATTTATTGAACTTTAGAAAATTTCTTCCAGATGGTCCCCTAAATCATCATATCCTCAGAGCTACCCAATTGTCTGTGCTGGACCAAGAACCCGTCTAAGTCTTAAATACTGAATTTGCAGCTGCACTTAGAACTTGCGACACGCTCACAAAATAGAAAGTTTGTCAAACTTGCTTCTGGTCGCAAATCTTTTCGCGACTGGCGTCGATTTGATGATGTTTGCCACGCCTAGTGGATGGGTACAAAAGATGTGCAAGACATCATTCGAACAAACCTTGCAGTTTTAAAAAAGCAATTCACTCTATGCGGAAAGGTAAGACTTTGAAGCTTCTGCTATGATTGAGGCATTTTAAAGGCCAAAATCGGCTAATTTTTAATATTTCTTGAAAGCAAAATTAACGGTGATGAATGATGAAGTTGTGAGCAAGTAAGTAAGTAGTAAGTAAGTGAGAACTAGGTTGTAAAGAAAGTTGCGGGGCGTTTTGAAAATTTCATTTTTTGACGCATTTTCTAGCGCTCGGTCGGACTTCAACGATAAGTTTTTTAAACTGTTTAGTAGAAGAAGTCTGAGCTTTTCAAATCCGCTTCTGATTTACACCGATGTCATACCATATTTGATATGCATATGAAAAAAGAAAACCTTTCCAACCATAAAAATTTCACTATTTTCCTTTTTGCTGCTATTTTTCTGCACATTTCAAAAAAATTTCGTTCAAATTATAGGTGACTTGAATGAGGGGCCTGACAACTTCTAACTCGCAGCTGGCTTCGAATTTTGCGTTTTGCGTTCTGAAATTACGAGCTGACAAATTTGTCTCTGACTGTAGCTCTTTTCGCATCTCGTCGCTTCTGCGAAATCGCCACGCCCCTGACTGGTAGATCCAAAAAACGTGTAAGGCATTACCCCAATAATGTTTGCCGTAATCAAAGATTTGGCTCGTCCTCTGCAGAACAAGAAGATTTCGAAATCTATTCGAGCACAAACACGTCATTTTTCGCGTCGACTTCTTCCCCTTCTGCACATGCTGATGAACCACCATGGGGTGCTGAGAAACCAACAAGACAATAGTGATATATTGCGGACAGGATTGTCGTTGAACTAAAATTTGTACCAAGAAGGATCAATTTGCATGAAGTTACAGCGATTAAAAAAATTTCGCAACTGCCCTGGAACTTTCTTTACAACCTAATAGTAAGTGAATACGCTGTAAGTTACTTTTTCGTAATTAGGATGAATGAAAGAGGATGAAGTTTATCTTGAACCGACTACGCCGGAGTTAAAGCACTATATTGTCGCTTGATATGAGTAAAATTGAAAATTTCATCGTTACGGTTTCGAGAGAAAGATTGAGGTTTTTGGAGATGTTCAGCTATGTGTGACTAGTAGGCTAATGACATAATGCTCCACAAATATCGCATATCTAACTTCCTTCTTGCTTATTCTTATTACCCTAAATTCACGCGTACAAGGCGCATCTTTTTCGATTTTTCAATCAAACCCCTCAGCCGCTCCAAAGTATTTCGGAAGATTTCTATGCCGTACAATTCTTTGAAGCAATATACAGCACGGCATAGGGTCCTTTGGTTGCAAAATTCTTTAGCGTATTTGGGCCAGTCAGTTTAAACCCCCCCCCCGCGCCGTGTACTCGTGAAATTAGGGTACAAGTTGATGGGACTGAGCAAAGTCCAAAGTTTCTTTGTCTTGGACCATCTAAATACTGTATAAATGCTTTTAGAAGAGATGCTTTTTGCGATATGCTGACTGCTACATACGCGGACATGTTTCGCCAACAGGTCGAGGCACATCACTAACATTTTACCAAAAAACGGGCTAGTAAACGCTCCTTTTATTCAAAGTCATATAACGCTATAAAAAACTAACTTTGGGACTTCGATCTTACATTGAAGCACAGCTAAGGGTACTCCCAAAGAAGGTCAACAATGATAAAATATCAGGACAAACTGAGACAAATAATAGCGACGCTGCTTAGAAAATCAAAACAAAAGGATTAGTTAGCATTTTTAGGTGAATACTCTTTTGCCTCTTTCATGAATCTTTTATGCAATCTTTTTTTTCACACTTTAACGATAATATCTCAACAAATTCATGAGTGCTGAGCCCGTGAATTATGAGCCGTTGTTTTCCAAATGTGACAGTGAGACGCTGATTATATCGTCAATACTTAAAACCACTGTAGAAAGCAGCATGTTCAGTGGAATGGTAAGAGCTGCAAAACATAATATAAGAGGCCTTCTTCAAGCAGACTAGCATCAACAACTGTCATTGCATGAAATTTGAGAGAGCAATCGTTTAACTTTAGCCACAGTCATCAGTGAGATCGGCGCTTAAGCGATAATAAACAATGTCAGCATTGCAGAATAAGAAAAGAAGTCTCTGTAACAAGACTTGGTCTTGCGAATCTTTCTACTTGGGGAACATCTCCAAAATTTAGAATTTTCCTTCCCGCAAAAGAGCATATGCTAAGCAATGTGTGCGAAGGGCGTTTTGAGCGAACAGCTGGGATAACAGCTTTACAACGCGTTCAGCCACCTAGCGCTAATCATCAGATCCATTTCTTAACGATCTAAACTCACTACTCCGTCACATTGAACTTCTGTGCACTTCATCTTTTGCATACAAATAAAAGGCGGATTTTCTTTGAGCCACACATAGCCTCGAGTCAGTAGAATAATCCCTAATCTCATTAGCGGAAGACCTTGTGGGAATTTTGTCAAGCCTAATCAAACGGAGAAACTGCTTCAAAGCAGCATTAGATGCATTGAACGTACCTCTCGTTGTTACTATTTATTGTCTAATTATCTTCTATGATGTCTCTCCATCCAGTTTTGTTACAATGCCCAGGTCTTACGAAAAAAGAGGGTTGAAGATTCTATTGTCTAATTGTTGCAGCAATCCGTTCTTTTGTTCTCTCCTTGGTACACCTCAAAAACATTGCAAAATTTTCATCTGTATCCCGACGGTTATTCTATTTTGTACTTTTAAATTTTTACTGCATGTAAATGATAAATAAGAAAAAATCAAAAATTTTTTGCTTGCAAATTCGTTCAGTCTTGTGTATTGTTGCTTTCCGTTCTATCGGAACATGAAATATAGAACCAGAGAAATGTAAGGACCAATGAAACCAATCCATTTCTTACAGAATATATCTATTATGGCTAGAGAGTACTCGTCTGAATCTTATTAGCTGCTTAGAATTTTTCGGGCTTTTCGTTAGACAAAGGCAATGCAGAGCATATGGGCTATAATAGGTAGGTCAAAAACATGATCTCTGCACTCTTCAATTATGTTTTTTCGCAAATATTTTCGCATTTTCACGTATATTTCCCGAGCAATTTCAAGCATGTATTCCGTTATGAATACATGCGGCCGAGTTTTTTGATTTTACGATTACAGTGATTGAAACATTTTTCACAGTATACTCCAAAGTTTCTTAAATGATTCAGCAAGAAAACCTATGTGGAGTAATCTCGGTCTGCTACAGTATCATAATTACAAAACTAAATATGCTTCACTGAAATATAGTCTGAGATAAATTTTTTCGAGAATAAAACCCAAATGAAAATCAAGTCTAATAATGAGAAAAGTTGACATGCTTCCATTACAAACATCTAATTATATTCAACAAAAAACAAATTTTTTCTAGGTGTCTCGCTTGCCATTTTTTATGCTGTCGAATCAAATCGCTATGCAGAACAACTGTATGAGGATTTGCTCTACTACTATAATAAAAATGTTCGACCAGTTAAGAATGCCAGTGAGAGCATAAAAGTCAAATTTGGTGCTTCGCTTATTCGAATCATCGATGTGGTGAGTTTATCACCGCTATATCTGTTGCTTTAAGTTATAGTACCCAAATTTAAGAGAAAAAATAAATGTTAATCTGCACTTACATTCGCTCAGAAATGTCGTATACCTATCTTATTGCAAAGAAAAAATTTTTTGTAACTCAGGATGAAGTAAATCAAGTTCTTACAACTAATTTATGGCTGGAAATGCAATGGTTCGACTACAAGTTGACTTGGGATCCAGCACGATGGGGTGGCATACGAAAGCTGCATATTCCTTCGGACCAAATATGGATACCAGATATTTTACTTTACAATAAGTAAGTCTACTGCTTGCATACTTTCTTCTTGATCTACCATTGCTGGAAGTTTATTTACTATTTACTACATACTCTTTGAAAGCCTCTTGCCAATTTTTTGTGGCCACACTTCTGATGAAAATAGAAAAAATAGTTCAAATCGTCTATGAACTGCATAAAATTTGTCAGCAAGTTCTAGAAAAGTTGACAAATATTACACCGTGTTTTGACGGTTATGTCTATTTGCTCATTGTAATTTGCGGAAATTTTTGCTTTCACAAATGAATATTTCCTAAATAGACGAATGTCTTTTCAGTGCCGATGGAGAGCCTCACATTAGTATTTTGAGTGATGCCCTAGTCTATCATAATGGTCTAATAGTGTGGAAACCACCAAGCATCTATAAATCTTTTTGTCCCATCAACATCGAATATTTTCCTTATGATTCTCAATCCTGCACACTGAAATTTGGAGGTTGGAGCTATAATGGTTTCCTTCTTGATGTCCGACAGCTGCCGGTCAGTCATTACGCACAAAATTGTGAATAAAGCAAAGGGCTATAGTTTTTTTAGTCTGCTGGGTCTCCAATAATAAATCGATTGGACGAAAGTGGCAAGGAATACCAGTATTTAGAGATTGGCATGGATCTATCCGGATTCCATCAGTAGGCCTTCAGACATAATTTTTGCAATAAATGCTATATTTTAGAAGCTTGGAATGGGATTTAATGTCGTTAACATCTCAACGACATGAACAGCTGTATCCGGGATGTTGCGGACAAGATTTCTATATTGACGTCACGTTCGATATTGGTCTGCGCAGGAAGACCTTGTTCTATACCGTAAATTTGGTAATACCATGTATGCTCATAGGTCAGTGAATTTTACCTCAAAATCATTTTGATTAGATCTTTAAAATTCTTTGCTTTCGAAAAGTGCTCGTGAAAATTGGGCAGCAGAAAAGTCCTTTGCCAAAAAGGCGCTGCATATTTGTTGAATGTATTTACATGTTTTATCTTATTTGTTTCTATGATTTATGCCATTTTTGCTAATTTATTTCCGCAAGATGATGTTTCAGCTATTCTGACTACATTCGTATTCTATATCCCTCCCATCGAGCACAAGATGACTTTTTCTATTTCAATTCTTGTCGCGCTTACTGTATTCTATTTAGTTCTCATTGAACTTATTCCACCAACTTCTCTTGTGTTACCCTTGATAGGTGAGTTAAATTCATATATGGTCCTAAAGGTATTAGGTTGCAACATTCTTGAGACTTTTCACTTTTTACGGCGATAAGTCATGTAGTTCACATTTCCAGCAGGAGTCCAGGACATCATTTGATAGAGCAAAGAAAGCTTTACAAGAAATTATGCAAAATTTCGCAAAAACTTCGACCCATTGTAAATTTGCATCCGAAACCTGAGTCATACTCAATGCTCAAAAAATTGTGAAAAATTCGTATCTTTGTTCAAAAAAAATCCTACGAGTCTTCAACATGCTCACAAAAATTGCACACTTCATTATACATAGTATGTACCGTTCCTGAATTTTTTTCTCCAGAAATCGAGAAAACGAGAAAAAAAATCGAGAAAAATTTTCATGTTTATACAAGAAGAAAGCTATGATGTTTTCACTCATGTAACTGTATACTACAATCCCTTAGGAGTATAACCGTAGATTTTCAGTCTTCCACAAGCCCTAGTTTTCGAAAATTACTAATTTAGCTCTCCTCATTCGGGTGTTCCATGCTAAAATCAATATTTTTCGAAAACTAGGATTTGTAGAAAGCCAAAATTTACGGTTATGCTTCTAAGGGCTTGTAGTATACAATTACATGAGTGAAAACAGCATAGCTCCGCTTTTGTATAAATATGAAAAATATCGTTTTCTCGATTTCTAAATGAGGAAACCAGGGGACGGCGCATACGAGTGTCTGATATGGTGTGCAATTTGTGTGAGCAAGTTGGCGATTTGTAGGATTATTTGAAAAGACACTCATTTTCAGCAATTTTTTGAGCCTTCAGTACGATTCAGATTTTGGATGCAAACTTACAGTGGGTCGAAGTTGGTGGAAACTTTTGCAAACATCTTATAAGGCTTGCTTTGCTCTATCGAATAATGTCCAGGACACCTATTGAAAATGTGAACTGCATGACTTACCGTCGTAAAAAGTGAGAGTGTCTCAAGACTTATGTTACAACCTAATAGTTTTCCTTGCCTTGTGAGAACATCGATGGAGTTTGAAATCGCATTTACTCTAGTTGTATTGCCAAGCCGCTTTTTCTACTGAGATTTGAATGGTTGTCTATAAATTTTATCGGAAACCAATCATCATACCTTCAAAGCCTCGTAACCTCTCCCCATCTTACACCTGCTAGATAGAAATACAGCAATGACTGCTGTTCTTGATACATTGTTTTAATCGCAGCTTCTGCTTTTTATTTTGTAATAGCAATTTAATAACGCAGGCGTCAACAAAATTTTTTGCGAATCCTTTTCTAATTTGACTAAAAATGACTTGAGCTTACTACGATGCACGGAACTACCTACCTTGATATTTCTTTACTTCGGAATTTCGGGGTAACTACCATTAGGCTATGAAATGAACCAAACGCGGTGAAGAACATTCCTGGCCCTTCTGATGATAATGAAGGATGTTTCAGACAGTTTAGCTTTGCTTTACCGCTTTGTAAGCCCAAGCTGCTTCTTCCGAAAAAACAAAACACTAAGAAATTGGTAGCTGAATTCTCTCAAAATTCTCTTGTCAACCGACTAAAAATGCGATGTTAAGTGGCCCGGATATATGCTTGTGTAGTCGTGGGGTTTCGCGCGCAATGTGCAGCGACGTTTTATGTAACAAAAGCTCAAACTGTCTGTTATTATCTTGATCGGAATCTGAAAAGTGAATTTTGCTGATTCTCAAAAAAAAATTTTGAGTCCTCTGCAGTCATTTTTCTTTGAAGACATTTGCAGAAACCGTGTATGCGCTTGTTCTAGGACGGTATCTTCTCTTCACGATGTTTCTTGTAGCCATATCTATCTTCCTATCTGTGCTTTCTCTCAACTATTATCGAAGGTATCCTATGCGACTTTTTCGAAGTCCCGAGTTGTATCGTCTTCTAAATAAGTAATCCTTATTAGGGACGGTTCCGCTCAACCCATGCCACACTGGATCCGGGTAGTATTTGTCGAAACATTGCCGAAGTACATAGGGATCAAAAAAGCCGAGGAGGATGAAGTCAGCGACCGAGGAAGTAGCACAGCTACTGGTTCGTATGATCTTTTCATTCGTCTCAAAATTTTAATAATCGATTATCAAGATGTGGGTCAATTCTTGGACTCTTCGCGTCGACCTTCGCCTTACTTTCTAGCTGTACCAGCAGGGGCTAACGACGAAGAGAAGAGCAAGACTAGGGCTGAAGTAAATAAAGTAAGTAAGACTCTACCTGCATCTCACGGCATATTCCTAGATATGTTATTTCAGATCAGATTGTCTCAATTAGCACAACTTCGCGGTTTGCATCCGGATTTAATAAGAAGAATGATTGACAATGTTTCGTTCATTGCTGATCACTTTCGCGCTATGAAGAAGGAAGACAAAGTAAGTTTTATTATTCAAAAGTAGGGTAGGTTGGGGGGGGAGGGGGCAAGAACAAGAATTCGTGAATTTGTGTATGAATTCACGACTGCTAAGCAGAACATGCCGTATGTTTGCACGTATTCTTTGATTCAACTGGATTGGCTGCTGGAAGGCGGGCCTTCGGGGGCTGGAGAATGGTCAGAGAAGAGCAAGTTCGCGAGGGAAACGCAAAATGCGTCGCGGGTGCGAGCGGTCGCCTTGCAGCCGCCCATTTCGTTGAATCAAAGGATACACTTATTTTTTAACACCATATTATACAGCATTTAACTCGGGTGAAAGATGTCATGTAGCCGTTGGATTCCGCCCGCGCGGACAGCTGGTACGAATTCTAATGAGTTAAAATACATGGTTTGTGGCAGATGTTGTGTGGAAGCAGCCTATCGGCGATCTAATATTTTGGGTCCTATTGACTATAGCTGCTTCTAGATATCATCTGACTGGTCCTACGTTGCCAACGTCATCGATAGACTGGTGCTCATAATTTTCACCACAGTCAATCTCGTCGGAACAATCCTAATTATTCGAAACTCCCCCATACTGTTCGACCACTCACAACCCATGAAGATTGTATGTTTACCTATGTTATTGTTAATAATTTCACTCCTTACTCAATATGATGTTATTCAGAGCCCTGCGACCAGGCCACTTTCTGGTGACACTTTCGAAAGCTCATTTGATGCCAACTTTACGCAGGAAAGTTGGTGGAAGAACTCGGGAGGACTTTGATCTGTGCCTTATTTGATGATAAAAGTTTTGCAAGCTGATTTTGTAGACTTTTGAGGTACCGCAATCAAGTCAATAACCTCAATTATCGAGCCTGTAAGCATTATAATGGTTTATGCAGTTATGGCTATCAATCAAGTACAGTACCTCCTATAATCTATGCAAATTGGTATGAATACCCGCTACAAAAATATTCGTCACATTCGCTGATGGGAAACGGTAGATATACGTACAAATTCAGTTTATTGGGTATGACTAAATATCGTCTAGAAGGATACATTGATTGAAAAACCACGCTTATTTGTTCCTAAGGTAGCACTTAAAAGGTAAGGTACTCGCAATCTTGCACATGGCTCGGCAAGGTACCCTTCGATTCAGCGGAATTGGCTGCTGGAAACACTGGCCGTCCGCTCGCACTTGCAACGCAGCCTGCGTCTCTCTCGCGAGCGTGCTCTCTACTCATTCTCTAGCCTTGGTAAGGCTTCGAAGTTCCGCCGTTCAGCCGCCGATCCCGTTCAATCAACGGGTAGCGCTATGGCATGGTGGACGTTGTGATTTTTGCTCGTTCCGGGGCAGAACTCTGAATAGAAGTTATTTTGTAGGCTGTCTGTAGCGCTCCTCTCCAACTCTTTTACCCCCCCCCCTCTACAAAATTTTTTTTATTTAGCGCCTTTGCCAAACAGTCGTTCATACGTGTGCTCCGTCTGCTTTCAATCCTCCCCCCCCTTTCCTTCAAGTTTTTCCAAGTGAGGTGGTCTCGGATCAGGTGACGCACCATTTGATAGGGAGACGGTCAAGAGGCGCGATTTCTCCGGTTGTCACCAACCGGAGAAAAATCAAAACTCCAGTTTAGTGCTATGCGAGTTTTCAAAAAGCATCACTTAAAGTGCATTGGATTATATCTGTCTGAGGTTACCACTCGCCGAGTTTGATGGCTTTTGCTGGAAAACGGACCGAAATATTTACAAATTTGCTCTTAGCTGCATTTTCATGGGATTTTGACCTTCGCAATTGCTTTTTTGAATCGATTTCAAAATAGCAAGATTGAGCAACCCATGCAACAAATATATCTCCTTTCAAGATTTCAGTACTTTTTGAGTGTTTTAGAACACTTATCATGTGCTTTATGGTGTCTATCTCATTTGATATACCCCTGTGAAACCAAAGTCATGGTTTTTCCTTGCCGCCAAAGTATGTACCATTTGATTGCTTCATCTGGGTTGGCTTCGGGAAGGCGGGGCATTGTGACCTAATTACGCCCGCTCGCTCCCGCGACGCACCTGCAACTCTCTGTGCGAGTGCTCTCTGATCATAACCTAACCTTAATCAGGTCACGAAGCCCCGCCTTCCTGAAGCCAAATGGTAATTTGAATATTATCATTTCAATTGAGTGTGTGTTTGATACACTCTAGCAATTCATTCTCCTTTTCTTCTTACCCTTCTCTTTTTTCCTAGAGCACCTTGAATCTTGTCGTTACTCTTTTGAAATCGGTACTTCTCCGTAATTTGCTGATATAGTTGACTGCACGGAATCGACCGGAGTGAATGCCCGCGAGCATATCTCTTGCGGTCTAACATTGGCATTTGCGCGCATTAGTCATCATAGCGCCAGTACTCGGCAGCCGCGTTGCATGCACGCACGAGCAATTTCCTGCAGTCGACTTTTACCACCTCACGCAGAGCGTTGGTCTCGCACTCATCCCAAGACGTCTTTTTCCCCTTTGCCTTCGTAGAAATGTGCAATAAAGGCAGCGTTCCGGCAAAAAGATGGTGCCGGGTTTTTGTAGCGATGTCAAAGTAGAGCCCTGCCTAAGCGATGACTGAAGTTCGGAGGGGGGGGGGGGGTCTACCAAGCCTGAAATTTGCTCCGAAAGCGGCCCGAATCTCACGGTAGGCCCTGACGCCGCCCACACAGCAATATCGATTTGAAAGGCCAGAGTGCGTATAGCGCACAAAGTTGAGCGCAGGGTTCCGCAACAACTCTGCGTCTCTATCTCGCATGCATCTCGCACTAGCCCGAGCCTACCGTAAGATTCGTTTCATTTGAGGGGCTTGTAGACTTCGCAGGTCCCCTTTCACACTGCAAACTTCTGTGTCGCTTAGTTAGGGGGTCTACTATTACATTACGATGAGAGCCAGATACCCCCACTTTGGGGGTGTATGTCAAGAGGCGCGATTCTTATTGCCAGATGGTCACCATTAGCAATACTTGAAACTTCAAAAGAGATAGATTAGATATTTATACGGATTGTTCGATCTAATCATTTTGAGATCGATTCCAACAAAGTTGTTGAAGGTCAAAAACTCGTGAAAATGAAGTTGGTAGCAAATTTGTAAATATTAGGGTCAGTTTTTTAGCAAAAGTCGTAGACGGCTAGTGAGCCTACGAACTTTGTCTGACACTTTTTGAACACTCCCACAGCATGAAACTGGGGTTTTAATTTGGTGACAGTCAGAAAAATCGCGCCTCTTGACCGTCTCCCCCACTTTGGTAGGACACTGCCTTTAAGGGCATGCCTGCGCCAAAAATAAAGTTCTTTTTTTTATAAAATGCCGTGTCCTGCTCGCTCAGGCAATTGCAGTCTGAATTGCCGCGCAAACCTCAGTTTGGCACGGACGACATCACTCATCTAGTCTGCGCGAGACCCATCACGACCCACGGTTACCGTACTCGTCAGTGCAGAAAGTGTGCAGCTTATGTGACGACACGCTTCAATCAAACTGTTGTCCGATTAGAAGATGCAAAAACGTTCAAATTTTGTCTCTGTAAAGCTGTCCAGAACCATAATCGGGTTCATTGCGACGCGAAGGCACAGAAAATGCGAAAAATCATATCGAGGATCTAGTGAAATGCGGCCTTTAAGACAGTGCGACATTTTGTCACTTGAGTGGTCAGAACAACAAGCGGCAGCAAATAGCGCTATATAGTGCAATAATATCTTTTCAGTAACGGATATTGTACTCGTGATCTGTGCGAACCACCCATCTATGCGGAATTTCAGCCGTTTATCTCGAAGTTTACCAAAAAAATAGATAAAATCGATAAACGCCGCTACAGTCTCAGTAGCAGATATTGTGCTTGTGATCTGTGCACGCAACCACCCATCTATACGAAATTTCAGCCGTTCAATTTGAAGTTTACCAAAAAATGAAAAAATCTATAAACGCCGCGACAGTCTCAGTAGGTGGTATTTTACTGTGATCTGCGCACTGCAACCTATTTATTTGTGACTAGCGCAAATGTTGTTACGATAAAGTCCATTGACGCTATCATCACCTCGATGAGATTCGCAGTTGAACTGACTCACTTCGAATTACTGTAGGTTGAAGGTAGTACAGATGCTCGAACGCGTTTAAGTGGAAAACTTCACAAATTCCTGTAAACATATTATAAATTAGTACAAAGATTTGATTCTGTTGATGGTACCACTCGTATGGTACAACCTCTGAAGAAGAAATGAAACCGAGTTTTACAAATATAGAACAAAGTAGGCGGTGGTGAAATAGGTGGTGCGGTGATTTACCGTAAAGAAAGCATGTGGCAAAGAAACGAAAGAAAGTAGTGGTAATGACAGGAAGTTTCGAGATACCAAGTGCACGAATAGCACATGTGGAGACCTTAGGAAACACAGCAGCTATACTTTTCAAAACTCAATATATTTATCTTCAGTTTCAGCATTTTCAACAAGTTTTATAGGGAAAAAAATCCTACGAAGTGGATACAGGTCACTTTTCTAGTCGGGACCGCATGACTGCCGGCAGACAAACAACAGAGCTTGTGAAAGCCACAATCATTGTCATGCATGACATGTCACTTCCCAGTCTGTTCGTCGTGTGCTCCACATTTACCATTTTCCAAGTTTACTGTTTTCTTTTCAGTAGTGTCGTCATTTGAGTCCTTTGTGGAAAGTGAGACTTTTTTTTCTTATGAGGAACAACTCGGCGACGCAGATAAAGAGGAATAAGAATCCAGCGCACAAGCTGTTTCTATAATGCGGCAATATTCAAAAACTTTCGCCGAGCAGCAGCACGCAGAAAAAGTCCGTAGGCAAGGCTAAAGAAAGCAAAAGCACGAAGAATCTCAGCAGCAGCATGGTAAGAACGTTTCTTCAGTAATCGATAAGTGTCGAGATACAGTTAACGTATTTAGAAACCCGGCTCGAGTAAGAGCACACAGAAAAGAACGCGTTCGCGATCCAAGAGGTCAAGCAATCAGGCTCCGTCCACCAGCCGCAACTGAGATAAAATACCAGCTGCATGAGTTGCTGGTTCCTGTGAAATGCTGTAAAGGAGTGCATATATAAATCTTGTATAGTAGCAAAATGGTACTTTTCGATAATCATCATGTATATATATCTTGTATGTATATGTCTCATGTATAGGCAATTTTTCATCATATATACCTGAATGTTACTTGCGTAATAAACAAATGGTTTCGAAAAGTTTCTGAAGCATTCCATTCTGCAAAAGGTGCGACATGCAGTCAGTCTCGTATTATTTTTTATGTTGAGCCACAAACTGGCATACACCAATCCCTCGCATAATTAGACATAGAGTAGTTTGGAAAGTAGAATCTCATTATGTCCGGATGAAACCTAGACGCCGGTATAGCGTAGCGTCTTGCATACGGTAGAGAGTCTAGGACAGACAGGTTGCGAAACACGAACGGCATCTTCTCAAGCAAACCTGATAAATAGTGTAGAGATCCTCTGGCGGAAGTAGGCTGGCAACTGGCCTGGCACGGAATGAGCCAAGACACGTGTCAACCGATCTAAATTCGGGTGTACACATTTGCATGTGAGCCGGAGGAAAAGTAAAGAGCATCTTTTACGAGGCGTAATACTGATTAGGGACTAAGTTTTCCTGTTCCTGATCAAGTTCCCACTCCTCCAGATGTACCAAGTTGGGACAATGGAGCAGGCTGAGAGAGGAACAACGCGATTGGGCCTCTCCGGGGGTGGATGTCTAGACATATAAGACATATAGATGATGGCTATATCATGCTAATATGATCTCTGCAGATGTGATTGTAGAAAATGCTAACACAAGTGTTTGGGTAAGATTGCGTAGAGCTTCTC